TATTTAGAATTTAAATAATATAATAAAACTGGTTTGGTGTTATTAACATTTAAATATGTAACAATGTTTTTAAAACACCTTATTACTTACCTAAATCGACACTTAAAATCGATTTCATCAAATTCCTCCAAAGGATTTGATCGATCTCTAAATAACCTCGGTCTAGGTAAATGATACAAAATATCCAAAACAAATTCATCATCGGAAATCGATAAACTTGAATCAGAACTCGACATTTTTACTATTTTCGGTTACAGCTTATAAGTATTAAGAAAAAAATTCAGTAAGTACGACCAACTACAGGGTAGGTATAGTACTAATGACACCTGAATGGCTGAATACGTATGCGTGATAACTGTAGGATTATAGAATGATTAAAATTTAAAGAGCCGAAATCGGTAAATTAGTTTAATGAGCTGGTAACCTATATTTTAACAGCCCAATAAAACTATTGAACGTTTAAAGATTGTTTAACAGATGAATAAAATTTTAATCATTCGTTAGCGCGCGAACGGCTCGTTAAACATTTAACGGGCGTTCATGCAACCCGGCATTATAATGGTAAAAAAATATATAATATCATGATTAATAGGAAATAATTCACGGATCTCTTTATGTCGTGTCTAATAGTACTCAAACAAACAATTGCGACGTTGCCGTCATATGGATCCAACATAAGGCGTAATACAAACACTCACCCAGACACCGAGTGTGTTTTAAATGCTTAAATTAACTAACGGTGTATGTATACACACACCAAAATCTGAGCTGGAATTATAATAGTTTGCCTTTTAGATGACAATTCTGATGAAAACTTTGCGAGATCTGGGGTGGTGGATCTCACAACGAAAAATGATCTCGCAACGCTGCTCCGTTTCTATACGTTGGATCTGACAACGTATTACATGTAGGAGCATATTATACTCCACTACTGTACAAACATAATATTTACATCTTCGTTTGAAGAGCTTTCGGCAGATGCATTTGTATAGTAAGACATTGTGTTTTTTTATAACTTAAAAAAAAAAATGTTAATCAGTTGATGTTAGATTTTTAATATATCAGGTTTTTTTTTTTTTAAAATAATTACCTGATCAAATGTATTTCTACGGTGTGAAGCGATAACACACACAGTCCTGGTTAATACAATGTAGAGATTTAACACTAACTATAATCATTGTCTGCTGGGTGATTATATACAGATTAAAAAGCTATAAATAAAATAAATGTAGTGTCGTCATTTTGTTTTTAAGCTTTTCACATTTGTGTTTAGAGGTCGTTTGTTCTGATGTACTATGATAATCATTGATTTGTATCAATTTTTATTTTGCATAATTGCTAATTTTTCCATACACAATATTACCAATTCTATATAAAAACATAAAGTCCTAAGTTCGGTATTACTACAGCATCACATAACATCACGCCATCGGATCAAACCACTAATATCGATATCTTATTGGCAAGTTATGAACTAGTAGGGTACAATTAAGTAAATAATCTTATACATAATCACTGTATATTCTATATAATTGTATTACTATTTTGCATAGAACCTTATAGTTTGTCAGAATATCGTCTAGCGTACTTGTGTGGTCGCGGACTTTATTACAGTTTCATCGTCGCTTACACACGACTGTTTACCTAGTTTTTGTAAGTCATACAAAATTCAATAATAATTTATACAAAGTTAAATAATCAGTTTATTGTGTCAATTCATTTTTAACTATTTTACGTCTTAACGTACTTTGTTCGGTGATTCGTGCAGTAATCAAGTGGTCATACCACAACATGTAAGTTATGTATAAAATAAAAATATAATTGATTATAAATAAATGAATTGAAACATTGCATTAAAAATCATGTTTTATTCATTTAAAACAATTTATGGGTGAATTGAAACACTACATACATTTTTTTTTTTTTAAATAGGCAATTTTTTGAATTTATTGATATAATTTTCAATTTTTTCTGATTATTATAGGCAAAATAATAAATATCTCAAGTTTTAGTAACATAAAAATATAACAAACTTTGACAAATTTCAGTCTTTGAAATCACTTTATTATTTCATAAATTTATATAAAAGTGTATCTCCTAATTACCATATAGTAAGTAATATAACAAAATTTTATTTTTTTATTAATATCTTATAAAATAAAAAAATAAATGAGCAACTAAGTAACGGCAAACATGATGGATGTTGCAGACTTGGTTGAATTCATGATTCGTTCCGGGTATTTCATTCCCTTTTTAGCAATTACCTTTGATCTGCCAGGATCATCAGATAAATTAGTTTCATCATAATTAATAATATTTGATGATGGTACACCTTCAATTGATACTTCTAAATTATTAAAATAATTATCAATTTGTTCTGGCGAAACAGCAGCCCTTGCCCTTTTTATGTTTTGACAAATCCTGGGAGTAATGCTCTTTGCATGTCTTTTTAAAAATGACAGTGCAAACTCATGACCAGGCATATTGTCTTTAAACCGTTTTATAACTATACCTTTTTTATCACAAATATGTTTTACTATCATTCGTAGGTCCATAGTGTCCATGGGATAGCCCCATTCAGCACATTTCACTAATCTTTCAACAATCATATTTTTTCATGTCTGCATCTAAAACTGTTTGACCTCCAATTGTTCTCCTTTTTCCGTTAGCTTTAACCCATCTTTCTTTGGAGTGTTGAGTAATGTACACTATGGTTTTCAGCAGCTTTCCTTAGAGAAATTCCATTTTTAACTTCAGTAGCAGCAGCATTTAAATCACCTTCATTTCTTTTTCTATACTGTTTCCCTCTGGGATCAGAAATATATACTCTGGGCATCTGAAAAAAAAATGTATTTTAAAAGTAGGTTCATGAAAGTGTAAAACAACACATTTTTGGTACTATTTATGTTTTTGTTGCAAATCACCCCATTTTTGGTTAACTACTAAAAATGTTTGATTCAAAAATTTATAATTAATTGAAAAATGTACTTACGTTGTTGTATTGTAAATTTCTTATAAATTTACAAAATTTTCTATTCAGAAAAAAAAATTACTGTGATAGTGACACTTTAACAATATCAACTGAACTAGGATTTTGGCGGTTATAAAATGAGTAAATTGATAAGCGCGAAGGAAATATTTTGCTGTGGAGGTAGAAATAATCCGATAACAATAATTTTTTTCCCAATAGATAACATTTATCACAAAGAATTTAATTCTTATTTTTTCATAGTGATAACACATAAATTGAATATTCGTCATCAATAATAAACAAATTACTGAAGACTTGTTGCAATTCACCTTGCAGTTGCAATTCACCCCGTTTTACGGTACCGATTTAATACTTATTTCTGCAGCTATATCACATACTCACATAAAATCTAAAATTATACGCATGCGAGGTCAACCTTTAATAATATCACCTGACGGAAGAATACAATTAATGAATAATTATTCAAATATAAAAACTATAAATTTGTTACAAAATATTTTTGTTAATAAACAAGATCAACTTCAAGTTATACTGAATGAATAAAATTTAGCTATGGAAACAAAAACTTCAAACTTGACCAAAACTTTTTAAAAAACCATCTTAATTTTAATAATCAAAATGCAATTATTTTACTATGGAATGGTAGTTCCGATAAAAATATTTTATTAAGATTAGGTTAATACAAATATAAATAATATAATGTTGAATATGACTGCGTACGATATTGATAATAATAAAATATTTTATTTAAAGCTACTTAATTTTCAAAGTAATGAAATTATTTAATTATTATAAATTAGGTTATATTATAAAAAATAGTAGATTTTTATCGTTGAAAGAAACTCATGATACGATATGTGATCAAAACCATGATATAACTTATATACACGACGCAGCTAATGATGTAAAATTAACGAGATGTATTTTCAATTATGTATGTATTAAACACAATTATCAGAAAATATTAAGTAAAATAATAAAATAATATTGTCTGATCTTTATTGCTATTAGTTTGTAATAAGTTTCAGTCTAAAATAAAAAATAACTTAATATTATATATCATTAGGTTACTAATCATATTATAATTTGTAATAATCATTTAATTTTGATTAATCAAAAATCCTTGATACGCTATCGGTTATTATGTATATACATATATTGTGAAACATAAATGCATAAATGTATAATACGTTTTTTTTTTTTTTTTTTTATTAGCTATCGGCATAAAACCATTATACCTCAACAATTAGGCAGCTCTCCCACTAGCGCGACGCGATTGACGCGACGCAACTGACGAAACTGGCGATTCTTATCGCGTCCGTGTTTCCAATGTTTATAAATAGTACTTCTCCCATACACGCAACGCGACTATTTTTGCAGCGACTGCGACGTAAAAAAATCGCGCGCGACTGAACATGTTCAGTTTCATTACAACGGTCGTCTGCGATTTTGGTAAATATGGCCAAAAAAGACGATCCCGTTTATAACATTAAACTTGTGGAAGAAATTGAAAAACACCCTTGTCTGTACAATTATAAGTTATCCGACTATTCAAAACGAGATGTAACAGATTTGGCATGGGAAAGTGTGGCAAAATCGTTAAAGGACAAAGGTACGTTTATTATTAATCATAGAATAAAATAATCTACAATAGTAATTTAATAATATAATAATAATTAATTATTATTAATAATTAAGTATTAATTTTAATTTTAATTTTTTTATTTTTTAAGTATTAAGTAAATATAGTATGAAGTAGTAAGTATTAAGTATTAAGTAAAAATAATCTACAATAGTAATTTAATATTAATTAATAAGTAATATAAACTGACCTAACATAATATTTATTATAAAAAAAAAAATATTATATAAGATAAATACTATTATTTTACGATGTACAATAATTCCATTGCCAAGGTAATGCAGATTGTGGTTGTATGAAGTAGTTAGACAGATAATCTCTAAGTCCGGATGCCGAATTTCTGGTTGGTAAATTGTTGTTTTCATTTTCTAATTCCAAATTCATTCCAATATTCATATTCATTTCAGTTTCCTTATGGTACTGCGGTTGATAAGCTCTACCTTCTCTAATCCGAATAAAATTATGTAATACACACATACATCGTATAATACTGCTTATTGTTTCTTCATTTACACATAAAATTGGTGTACTTAGTACCTTAAATTTACTAGCCATCATCCCAAAAGCACATTCGATTGTTTTTCTTCCTCTACTTAATCTATAATTAAAAATTCTCTTTTTGTTATCAAGTACTCTTCTTGGATAAGGCCTCATCAAATAGGACTTAAGAGGAAATGCTTCATCCGCGACAAAATAGTATGGAAACATTTGTATATCCCCTTGGTCGTGAGGTAATTTGATGCCTGTTGGAATATCAAGACCATTTATATCTAACCATCGGCCTAAACGACAAGCTCTAAAAACTACACCGTCACTATTTCTCCCTGCCTGACCAACATCAATTGTTGTAAATATACCATCTGCATCACAACTCGCCATAAGTACCAGCGAGTGGTACGATTTATAGTTAAAATTAGATGAACCAGATTTTGGAATCTTTTGTATTCTGATGTGCTTCCCATCTATAGCACCTATAGACAATTAAACAAAAATGTTATTTTTAGTCTTAATATACTGTTAGATGCTTATTTGACATTTGTATACATATTTAAATGGTTTGAGGTCAATATTATAGTACATCATAATATAGCCATTTTTTTATTATATTATATTATACTAAAACTGTTTATGCACCTATACAGTTTGGGAGATTCCACAGATCTTGAAATCTGTCAGCTATTGTTTTCCATTTTTCAGCAGTTGGTACTGGCATATATAGATCTTTTAAACATTCCCATATATTTCTTGTTGTGTCAGCAACGATTTTACTGACAGTGTTATTACCTATCGCAAAATAAAATGCCAAGGCACTAAAATTGCAACCAGTAGCCAAATATCTGAAAATCATTTTTTTTTAAATATTATGATTTGTATAAATACTATTATTATTCATTGTAAAATTAATTTCATGACATTTTAGAGCTCTAATTATTATGATATAAATATTAATTACCATATAAATTCCTTATAGCGGAAAACTGCAAAGAAAAAAGGAGGAACCTTCGTACAGTGTTTGTAAGGAGACAAAAACCACCAAATGGTTCCGGAAGAAAAGATTGTAAAGTATACTATATGACTGAACATATGCAATTTATTTTACCGTATATTAAAGGATTCAGAAGTGTAGATAGTACGGGAAATCTTCCTTCCCCTCCGAATGTGATGGACGATGAAGTTAACGAAACTGATGAAGTTGAAAACACCGAAGAAAATGAATTCGAATCGACTGCAGAAAGTTTCAACATGACTAAATCAAGCAACGAACAAGTATTTACTCCAAAAGTTAAGAAAAAAAAGACAAACACTTCAGATGCTGCAGATCAATGTTTTATTGATTATATTAATACTAAAAAACAAAATTCCAAAAAAGAAGATGATCCAAGAAAACAGTTTCTGTTAAGTATGTTACCTGAAATACATCAAATGACTGACATCCAAATGAGGAAATTCAAACGTAAAATGTTAGATACAATAGATGATATTTTGGGAGAATCAAGTACCGGAGTAGCTGACTATTTCCAACCTATTCGTCCTATTTCAAACCATTCAACTCATTCAAAAAACTATTCTGTCTATTCGCCAAGTGTATCATCATACGGTTCTGAATCTAGTTCAGTTTTAACTTCACCCATGTACATACAAAATTCAAATAACTTAGAACATACACAAACATTACAAGAGTACCAAAGTGTGCTAAATTTGAGTAACATTGAACAAGTGCAGATAAATCCAAACACGTCTTGTATACCACTCAATATGCAAGAATATCTTACAAAAAAATAATATACATATATATGTATTGCATTTTTGTTTTTTTTAAATAAGACGTATTTTTTTAAAGACGTAAATTTATACATTTTCTATAACATTTAAAATCTAAATTTTTTTAATAAACAATTTTATGTCAAAAATTATTTTTAAATTTTCTTGAAGCATTAAAAATTAAAAATTTTATCTTACTTATTTTGTTTATTGTTTTTAGATGACATAGTCCATTTATACCATATGATTTTCTAACAGGTTTATCGTTTATGCACAATATTTGATGCTTACAATATTTATTTATTACAACGTACAGTGTCAGTTTCTCTATTATTATTATATAAGGACATAAGGTGTGTCAATGATTTGAATGAAAGTCAACGATATTTATTCAATTATTCATATGAGTTTGTGTGCCTATTCTGTGATTTTTGTATTTATAGCGTATTTTTCCTTATTTTTAATGCATTGTTATTTTAATACAACGATTTTTGGTACATATTTTAATGTCCATGAATCATGAACTTGGCCAACCATTTAAATTATCCATATAAATCTAAATTATTATTTCATAACAATCATAACGCGTGAATATACGAGTATACAATACATACCTTATTGTTATTAGAAGTCTTTCTTCGACACCGACACATTTTCTAAAATGAGTATCTTTTCGGCCGATGGCCGGTTCAAGCAAGTTGCAAAGTTCTGAAAAACTTTCTTTACTCATTCTGTAGAATGACTGAAAACGTTCTGGATGTAATAATAGTTCTCTCGAAGCAACATACGCATTTCTGTTGATATTATTTGCTAAGTAGGGATGAATCCAAAATTTACGTTTTTTTTTTTTACTTTTTAAATAAGACCACATCACTATCACACTATCATCTGAACTATCCGATTCCATTTTCAATAGGTACACGGATGATGCTGGTGACGAACTGTTATATACTGTTTAAAAATATACGAACTGAAAAATAATACAGTAGAACAATATTGTTGATGCGACTTCGATCGCGTGAATGAGCGATTCTACGCGAAACTCGTCGCGTACGACAGTTTCATGGTTTTTTATTAAGTTGCGTCGCGTCAATCGCG